GAGGAAACAGGAGGAGGAACCAGGAGGAGAAAACCGGAGGAGGAACCGGAGGAGGAACCCGGAGGAGGAACCCGGAGGAGGAACCCGGAGGAGGAACCGGAGGAGGAAACCGGAGGGAGAACAGGAGGAGGAACCGGAGGAGGAACCCGGAGGAGGAACCGGAGGAGGAAACCGGAGGAGGAACAGGAGGAGGAACAGGAGGAGGAACAGGAGGAGGAACAGGAGGAGGAACCGGAGGAGGAACAGGAGGAGGAACTGGAGGAGGAAACCGGAGGGAGAACAGAAGGAGGAACCGGAGGAGGAACCCGGAGGAGGAACCGGAGGAGGAAACCGGAGGAGGAACAGGAGGAGGAACAGGAGGAGGAACCGGAGGAGGAACCGGAGGAGGAACAGGAGGAGGAACCGGAGGAGGAACCGGAGGAGGAAACTGGGGACGGACGTAGAGACTGCAGTGATACGGTTTGTAGTTGCCGTTGCAGATGCTGACGTCAGGAATGGGAACGCCGTCCACGCTGACATGAACCACATATTGGTCCTCCGGCATCGCCCTGTCAGGGAGCAGCAAACGCTACTGTAAAGAGAAACCTGGACCGGGTCACATGGCCTCACCCTGACCCGGTGCGGGTGTGTACCTGGTGTAGCAGAGGATCTGCTGGCGGTGGGTGGAGTCTCTCTCCACGTCACAGGGCACCGACAGCGCGTCCGACACCAGGGTGACCCGGTTCCCAAACTGCCCGTCTTCAGGATCCAGCTGGAACTGACGCTCCTGAGCAAAACCTGGAATCCAACCAGCAACTTCTGCTCCAATCAGCAAAACCACACAAATATTCTGGAGCACACCCTCTGGTTCTGATCCAACCCCTTTCAGTTTGAAGAACCAAAAGGGGTGAGATCTGCTGGGTCAAACCGGGTCAAACTGGGCGATTATGGAGCAGAATAATCCAGGAATAATCCCAGAAACATTTCAGAGGAACGCGCCACTGCAGATTGTTTAAGATGACAACGGAATAAAACCTGACATAATTGAACTGATTATTGTTTTATTGATTGATTATCCTTTTTGTTGCCCCTCACTGAATAAACGGGTCAGTGGGCTCAGCATCTCTGCAGGGATTATCGTCATCGGAACCAAGAGGTCCAAACTTTATGGTTTAAAAAAATAAAATGTTTTACTTTTCTTACTCAACAACAACCACAAAATATGCTATATTTTTATAAAACCAGTCAGATTAATTTACAAATGACATGTAAATTAGTTTACAACATGAAACAAACAGATCCTGTATTTCAAAATAAAACTGGTGTTTCTGAGTCACTTCCTGTGTTTATTAAATAAAACATTTTTTTTGTATTTATTAAATTAAATACTGGTGTGGATGCAGCAGTTTTCCTCTGACTGAAAGTTTCTGGAAACTCACGAGAAAACAAGTCCAGTTATAAAACATTTTATTATTTTAATTTGTTGGTGATAAATTTCCCCTCATTCAAAGTAAAACTCCCAGACGGGCCACAGTTGGCCCCGCGCCACACGTTGGGCACCCAGAGCTACAGCAATAATGTCATTATTTCATCAGTATCAGATCAGTAAAGTATTGATCTGGTTAATCTGATCGCGGCTGATTGAAACGCTGTGAAGGTCTCCCACCTTCCTCCTCTTCCTCACACCCCTACCGTCTCCGCTGATGGTGAGTCTCGTTGCTCCCGCCGTGCTTCCTGTGTGGGGGGAGACCCAGAAGACCCTCTGACCACCTGGAGAGAGACGGATGGAATAATCTGTGATAATCTGTGCGGATTAGAGGACGCGTCTTTGTGGTTTCTTACAGCAGCAGCTCCAGACGGCGAAGAGGAGCGCCGCTGGTCTCCACAGCGACTCCATCCTGGAGAATTCCCAGACTTCCTGCTGCTGCACCTGAACGTCCTGCAGGGAGAACAGTAGTTCTTTAATCTCTGGTAATCTGCTCCAGTTTGTCATTTTCAAAACTACAAAACAATCATCAGAATTTAGTGGAAAATGAAAAACTGAGACTGAAAGATGAGAAAATATTTCTGAGCTCACCTGAACGCACCTGGAGCCAAACTGGAGGAGAAAACAGAAACAAGACGCTGTCTGCATCCGGACAGGTGAGCGACGCTTTATAGGCGCTGAAGCCCCGCCCTCACCTGGGAGGGGGCGGGGCTTGAGCTCAGACCGGAAGCTGAGTCAGCAAATCATCAGACAACAATCTATCTATCTATCTATCTATCTATCTATCTATCTATCTATCTATCTATCTATCTATCTATCTATCTATCTATCTATCTGTCTATCACATACGTTTTCATTAAATTAACTTACAATTTTAGTTTCAGAGAATAAAACTTGATCAGTTTTCTTGTAGATTTTGACTTTATTTCTAGGGGATCATTTTTTCAATTCATCCAAGTTGTTGCTGTTTTCTTCCAGGCTTTAAGATCCTGGAACCGGGTTCAGACCCGATCAGAACCGGATCATTTACTCATCTTTAAACTTGATTTTACTGCTCAAGTTTTTCTGACTCTTCAACACACAAAAACTTGTTACGTGCATTTAAACGAGCTTCCTGTGATCTGCAGGTCCTGCCAGCAGGATGATGGGAACTCAGGACAGAGCGGCGCAAAGAGCAAACTGCTGCATGCTAGAGTGGGATTCGAACCGGCAACCTGGCCACCCGCTGACCCACCGCTGTCACATCAACACAACTCAATGCAGCAGCAGCTGAACGATTCAACCTGATAAAAGATGAAAATAAAAAGTCCTAAGAGGATTCCTGACCGGATCTCTGGACCATCATCACCAGAACCATCAGTGGACAGGATTGGATTGGTCCACTTTGAACCCCTGATGAAACACAATGAAATATGTATTTTATTACTTCATGTAAATAAAGTTGTGAGACTTCCAGGTGACGGTAGAGGTGGCATCATGCTGTGGGCCGTGATCATGTCCAGGGGTCTCCAACCTGTGGCTCCAGGGCCACAAGTGGTTCTTAATTTGACTGTCTGTGATCTGTGTTGACAGAATGATTAAGCATGTGAAAATTATTTATCATTTTTCCTCATAATTACGTCCCACACAGTAAAATGTTTCAATCATTCTGAGTAAATGTTTCGATTTTCTTTTTTAAACCCCAGAACCAAAAATTAAATGTTTTTTTAATGACCACAAATTTCCTTTAGCAGATATTCATTCAAACATTTTATATTTTCTTTTCCAACAGGCTGTGAAACGTCGAGACTCTAAACGAGCTTCGTTCAGCGGGACAGGGAGGAAGAGGAGGGTGTGGCTGCTGGAGACCAGACAGGTGATGAAGAGCAGACTGAGTGACGTTCATGCCAGCCGCCCTCTGCATTCCTGCCGCTCTGGGTGACCGTCACGCAACAGCATTTCTGTCATAACTTTGATTATTGTAGGAACCGGGTCAGACTGTCTGGCTCCACTCCGAGCAGAACTTCATGTTCCAGAACGCAACCGGAAGTCAACATCAGATTAACAGGAAGTGAAAGGCAGGAAGTAGTTCCCTGAGGCGCGGCGTTGAAGCAACAATCAGGAGTTTCTACCAGAGGTGGGACCAAGTCAGTGTTTTGCAAGTCTCAAGTCAAGAACTTTTAATTTCAAGTCATTTCAAGTCTTTTTTTCCTTCTTTTTCTATTAATTGCAATTATACATAAAATGTAAATAACAGACTATTTGTTCTTTTTAAAATCTGTATTTATCCCAAATGATAGAACATGTGCAGCTGAACACAAAGTATAAAAAACATTTTTAAATTGGACCTCTTTATTGCGCAGTTCTGTTAAACTTGACATTCAATGAAAAATACGAAAATGCTGACATTTCCACAGCACAACAAAGAACCATGACAGCATTTTCTCCTCTCTGCTCTTACCTGCCCACCACTCACTGACCAGGTAAGAGCAGATTCGACCGCTTATTTCGTCTTTCGGTCCCTCAGCCCCGGAGCCTCGCCGAGTTTTCTTAAATGTCTAAATTCAGTTAATTTGATTGGTTGTGCTGCAGCTACACACACATACAGACGGAGTGTGGAAAAACAGAGGGACGGTCTGCGCTTCTTAACACGGAATGAGTGAAATGAATTAATGGGAGCACTTTATAAATAATGTGCGTTTTAAACTTTTGACTTTGGGTAAAATATCAAGTCTTTTCAAGTAAACAGCTTCAAGTCAAGTCCGAGTCTTAATTTTAATGACTCGAGTCCAAGTCATGTGACTCAAGTCCCACTTCTGGTTTCTACTTAACTGAATGTGATGAGAGTTGCACACACACACACACACACACACACACACATCTTCATCAGACCCATAGACATAATATAATAATGTATATAATCTTATATTATGTCTATAATCAGACCCATCTCTCTCTCTCTCTCTCTCTCTAAAGCTTCCTTCAGTTCGGACGGAGCAGCTGGAGCTGAACGGTTCCGCTGGGAACAGATTCGGAATCCAGGTGGTTCCGGTCCAATAGCTGGCATATTTCTCCCAGTAATAAGTTAAAAATACATCAAATGAGTCCTAAATGTAAAATCCCGGTTAAAACGCGTTTCTGGGACAGAGAGACCAAGAACTCCTCCTCCCATGATGCACCTGGAGGTCCGCCGCTGAGGGGCTCCGTGTGGAAACAGGAAAACGTGAATCTTTCGCATCACCATCGTTGTTCTGCATCAGTTCTGTTTGGGTTCTGTTTGGGTTCCGGCTGGATGGAAGTCATGGCCGCAGCGAACTACAGCCTGAAGGTGAACCGAGACCTGCTGGACCCGAACTTTGAGAGCTACCGGCTGTCTCTGGACCCCATCCCGACCTACACCGTGGAGCTGGACGCGGGTGAGGTTCGGAACCGCGGTGGTTCCGACAGCAGCTGAGCGGAACCTTTAGAACCGGAGAATTAAGTCTGATCTGGACCTGGTCATGGTGGTCCACACTTTCTGCCAGAATTTCCAGTAAACTTTAACTGGACCAAAAGATTCTGCGGACTTTCTCTGGACCCAGATCAACAGAATCGTGGTTCTGTTGGGTCGGTTCTAAGAATTACGCTTTAAAAATCTTATCGATTCTATTAACACCCCCTTGACGTCATCCAGACCTGGTCTGACGTCATATTTATTGTTTGGAGCAGATCGTTCCCACCATCACACCTGACCTCTGACCTCTGGCGGCTGAGTCCAGTCCATCTTTTCTGGTTCAGAACCAGAACCACAGCTGGTTCTGGGCACAAAGAGGTTAAAAGAGGTCAACATTAACTTTGACTGAACCAAAATAAAAGGTTTAAATCTGACTTTAAAAAAATACTAACAGCTGCAACATTAAAGCTACAAACTTTTCATAACAAATTCCATTTAAACAAATTTCTTTCTTTTCTACAAAACAAATCACAAACGTCAGAAAATATTTTCAGTCATTCCCTTTGTGAGTCAACCTGAATTATCTGGACTTAAACTCCGTCCGTCCGTCCGTCCATCTTCCCTCCTCCAGGAACCCCCAGCGGTTCCCAGGCCAGCAGAGAGACATGGTCCCTCCAGCGTGTCCTGGGTCTCCTCTCCTCCCGGTGGGACCTGAACTCCTCACCAGGGAGGCGTCCATCTTTGCCAGACCCCGAGCCTCAACTGGCTCCTCTCGACGTGAAGGAGCAGCGGCTCTACTCTGAGTCTCTCCTGGATGACTAAGCTTCTCTCTCCAAGACACCCGAAGGAGAAAACTCATTTCAGCCACTTGTATCTGGGACCTCGTTCTTTCAGTCATGACCCAAAGCTCATGACTGTAAATGAAAGTAGGAACGAAGATCGATCGGTAAATCGAGAGCTTTGCTTTTAGACTCAGCTCCCTCTTCACCATGACGGACCTGTACGGCGCCCGCTTCCCTGGAGACGCTGCGGCAATCCGCCTGTCGATCTCCTGCTCCCTTCTTCCCTTTAACTTCACAAGATGTAAAACAAGATGGCGACTCCGACTGGGCTGAAAAATCTAAAACAACGAATATTTAGATCCAGAAAATATGAAAATTTATACACTTATCTCCCCGGCCGTTCTGATCCACCAGTGCTCCCAGTATGACCAGATCAGAGCACTGCAAGGTTACAGCAGCATGCAGCAGCTCTGATCTGGATGAAGCTTCTGGAAGTGGGTCAGGATGAACCCTGGTTCTGGTTCTGATTCTGTCTAACTGGTCCTGTCCTCTGCGCTGCAGCGGTGGAGGAGCTGCAGCTGAAGGACGCTCACTACACCCTGGAGCACCTGCGGGCGTTCGGCATGTTCAACCACCTGCAGCTGGACCCGTGGTACCAGGACAGCGTTCTGTTTGTGGACTCCAGAGGACGGGTTCTGAGCCTCAGCGTGACCCTGGTGAGTCTCTGCACCTCCAGAACTGGCTTACTGGACCTGACCCACTCTGGTTCTGCTGGAGTGGGAAGGCTCTGTTGCTCTGAGTGTCCAGCAGGGGGTGCTGTTGCTCTGCAGCTGGGCCGATGCAGCAGGCAGCTATTAATGATGGTAAATTAAAGGATTCTGAAGAAGTTCTGTTGGGTCCGGACTCTGTCAGGTGATAATGAAGTCAATAATCGCAGCAGTTATTACAGAAATGAGTTCTGGTTCTGATCCAGGTCGGCTGCAGAGCTGCTTTTATGTCCGGCTGTAATCAGAGATAATGACCATCCTTTATCCTCTGCTTCGGCGCCGCCGTTAGCGGAGGCTCCCTGTGTGGTTCTGGTTCTGATGGCCGTGTTCTTTAGGCTGTAATGAGAAGGAGCTCCAGCATCGGATCAGGAGCTGCAGAGGTTCTGATGGGAGCACCAGATTATTAACCCAGATTATCCACATGTTCTCCAGATGAGCACCAGAACCTCCAGGTCCAGTTTCTCCAGAACCACCCAGAGTGGGCGTGGGTTTGCTCTCTGGGCTCTGATTGGTCAGAAACCAGGAAGTCCTCCAGCAGAGCGAGACTCCCTGAGACCTTTTGGATGAAGAAACTGGTTGAATCCAGAAGGTTATGAGGATTTTACCGGGTCAGAACCATCATCACTCTGATCTGAACTTTCTTGAAAAAAAATCTGCAATAAGTTAAACTGGGAAGTGGATCACGGTCCAGCTTCTTGTGACCCGCTTAGACTCTGCCTGGTGGGTCTGATGGACCGGATGGCCGGGATATGGAGGTCCAGTCAGGCCCGGGTTCTGAGTTAAGTGTTACTGCAGAGATGATCTGTGTC